AACAAATTCAGTTGTTGCATTTTTAATTTCAAACATGTCTATATGTTTAATACAAATATAACCTAATACTGTATATTATGTACAAACACATTATATCTGTATACCCTGTAAATGCGTCCATTTTTCCATAATCATTGCGTAACAGTAGAAAGCAAAAGCTTATCGACAAAACAACAGAAATATACAATTTAATATAAAAGTTTATTTTCTCTAACCTAAACTGCTATATTTTTGTTATAGGTCTCAATGGACTTTGTATCCGCTGTGCATTTAGTTCGCAATAGCAGCTTGATTAATATCAGTGACCTTCGTGTTACGGTCACGACAATGGTAAAGGATCGTTGGTTTTAATGAGACACCTCCAATTACCTGTTCACTATGACACCTGATGAAAATGAAATGATATAATGCACCAGGACTCTTACCTTATTGAGCCGGTATCCTTATGCTTGCCGATGAGGAAGGTTGTCACGCCATCGTTCATCTGATTTGCCCACGGTGGTTTGACCCAGATCAGGTGCCTCAGGTGGCCAGCGTAGGCCGCGGGTAACATCCAATTTTCGATGCTAATTTCACTGTGCCAGAAACACAGTATTAGTATCTGAAAAATACTGTGCTCGTCGCGCAAAAAAAATTCACTAAACTCGAAACTATTCTTCCAAACAAGTTTATCATTTCGGACGAAAGTATATTCTTTACGGAATGACTCCTGATCCTGTGCAATCCCTTCAGTGTTGTGTTTCGTAAACCCAAAATTTCGGGCGAGCACGATTATTCAAATTATTCGTGTATTTTACCTATTCCATTGTAGACTAAATATGTAATTTAAAGATAAGAGGAACAATTGACACTTCGACTGCCACGTCATCTATACGTGGATGACGGAATTATTTGCTCAGATTTGAAAATTAATCTTTACGCTAATCTATTATATCTTTCTACTTTTATTAAAATTCGCAAGATATACAACTTAACTTTGCAATTTTCAAAGAAGATATTAACTGAGATAATTATTTATCTCGAAAAAGCTTAGTTTTCGTAAGGTTGATCCTTATTACGTGCAACACTTTCAACAGCATAGAAAATTGGGGGTCTATGTTTGTTACAAACTTTTAAACGCTCGAAAGTACTTAATTACCTGTATCTTTTAATTATTTCAAAAGTTACTTGTTTATATAGCTAATAAGTAACCAACTCTGGGTCGATCCTTCGAAAAATCGATCTTAGATACCCTGCTTACCGACAGAGCATACATCACTGTACAGATAGCTGCTTATCCACAGGTGCTCTTTAACCTAACTAACAAACAAACCTAATTAATTAAAGACATTTTATGAATTTCTAGAAATTCAATTTTTTCTAATTCGCTATCTTTTAAATGTATTGCATACATGACTATAAATTCCTGGGATGCTTAAAATGTATCGATGAGCACAGTAATTAAAAAGTATAAGTTATAGAGAATTATATTGCAGAAAGTTCATATCAGTATAATAATTCATTTGTACGCATTTTTTTTTAACAAAATATCACAAATAACACTAGTAATAATCAATACTTTTAAATAATAATTGCAAAGTTATTTGCAATTAATTATGCTACAAATCGCAAATCAATCATTTTGAAATGATAGAGCTACAATAATCAGAAATACTATGACTAATAAAATAATCTTGGAACTGCAGAAATTTAAATCAGCAACTTAGGTTATTTTAATTATTAGGACAGCAGAGCCTGATTTGTTCTAAAGCAAAGCGAACGAATTGTAATTTTAAATCGTAGTAATTGCGGAAAATTAAAGAATATTGTGATCAGTACATTAACAATTAATTTATACCCGAAATATACATAATGAAATACTTGTGTATACCTGAATAGTTGATTTTTGTCCCAAACGGTATCAGCGGACATCGCTTTTGGTATGAGCATATCAGGATGAGAATCCAAATGTATGAACGTGTTTCCTTCAAACGGAAGATGCTTCGAGCCCAGACAGCGATAAATAAACGGCAGCACCTGCGACGAAGCGCGCGAAAAGTTGTCGCATTCAAATTTTCGCGTGATTACGCCTGGTCACGTGAGCTACGTCACTGCCAGACCAACGACCAGCGCCTCTAGCGTGCCATGACGGAAACGCGTACGGAACAAGTTAGGATGTAAACAAACAAAGAAAACGTTGACCATTCGAAAGCCTACCTCGTCGTGACCTTCCACCACGTAAGTCGGGACCCTTTTGAAATATTTCCTCGAGAACATGTTTCTATCGCGCGCACTACGAATACTTACAGACACACCTAAATTCGAAAGAAAAGAAAAGATCGATAATCGTACTAATTATCACGATATGTAACGCACGACCCACGACCGCGATTAAGAGACGCCTTCACGCGAAAGCACGTGGTGACCGACTGAAGTATGCCAGGCGGACAGCTCAAACGATTATTTTGCGAATAAAGGACGGACACGAGGAGGCGCGTACCCCAAATTCTCACGAGACGAGTTTCGTAAGGTGGCTTTCCCCCCCCCCCCCCTTTGTATGCCCCTCAAAGAAACGCCTTAGAAACCTGATCTCTCTAACTCACAGCCGGCCTGCAATGAACAAATATGTAAATAAGGTCATTTTACATTTCCTATATACAGCGTAAAAATTAGTAATAACTAGGCTGTGGATCTTTATGTAAAATAAAAATGTTTGATTTGTTATAAACAGAAGTTAAATCGAAATTGATTTAATTTCTCAACAATTGTAATGAATTGCTGAATTTTTTAAATTCAGTCATAAAATAGTCAAATATCTGCGATACGTGTGGAATAGTAATTTAAGATAACATGAATTGTTTAAATTATATATATATAGAAATTCGTCAGATCTAAATGATATTTTACTAAACATAATTTTCTATATATCTAGAAAAACCGAATGAACAGAATGCACAGAAATTGAGAACATATGTATTTCAAGAGCATCTAATTAATGAAGCATTTTCTCTCTGCTTCTCTTATCAAATTGATAATAACAGAGTAATAAATTTTAATATTGTTACTGGCTTATGTTTCACCTATAGATATTTATTATAAACGCATAAAAATCTGTAATCTAATAATAATAATAATAATAATAATAACAGTACGACGTTATTTTACAATCCTGATCATCCGTCGGAGTACCGACATTGTATAAAATGAAGGCATTTTACACATAGAATGCCTGGCGTTTTTTAGGCAAAATATGAAATATCCAAGAATTATTTTAATATTATACATACTTTTCCTAGACATTGACTGGGTTAGAGTTTTATTAAAATAGGTTAGGTAATTATTAAAATAATTCTAGGATATTTCATATTTGCCTAAAAGCGTCAGACATACTGTACAATGCCTGCTTTTCATACATTGTCGGCAACATATACATAAGCTACGTCTTATAAATTTATTTCTTAATACAATACTTCAATATATAAATAACTATATCTGTACAAACATAATCTCGTTTTTACTTTAAATTAATTGCTTCG